TACACATCTGCCCTAACCAACTTCCTTTCACAGTATCCTAAGTCCTTGTTCCCAAAGCCTAATTAGAAAGACTACCTCTTAGGTCACTGACCCCTCCTTAAAGTCAAGGTCTCCTCATTTGGTTTTAAAACAAGTGCTTGAACTGGCACTATCAAGCAAAGTTGTTCTATCTCTTTTATCCAGCATCTTCCAAGTTAAAACTAAAGCAAAAGCTAAGCCCATCCATCGCCAGAGTGACTGACACTCTCTCATACTGACTCTCCACTGAGTTTCCAGGCTTGTTAAATCCATTCTAATGGTTTATTATATAAGCTGATTTTGAGGAAGCAGGCGTTTAAAACCCCACACAGTCAAGTTCAGGCACAGATTGGTGCACTTCTGAGTAGACTTGACTTCTGAAAACATTACGGGGCTAGAACATTCCTCTGGGCCCTTACATCTTCAGGGATAGAGGATTTAATCTTAAAAAAATCTCCTAAAACCTTCTCTTACAAATTCTTAAAAACTAATTCTACTTCTTCTAATAGTCTAATTCATCTAATGTGGTAGACTGTTTCATCAAAGAAGAGAGGCTTGAAGGAGTTAAAGCTTAACATTCATGATCAGCACTGCTTTTGAGAGGTGAAAGGGAAAGGGACTCTTTTATTAAAACTTTATAGATATTGCCAGTGAGCAAGACTCAACTTTCCATTGGATTTCCAGGGCTATAAAATTGCACAGGAGGCTATCTTCTTTCCCACGGAGACAATGCCAGACACAGCCTCTGGGCTAGCAGCAAAACTCCCTGCAAAGGAAGCCACTAGAGCTCCCTAGTGTATTAAGCTTGTTAAATGCATCTTTAGTATTCAGTTCTTCTTTGGAGCCTGAAGGTAGGTAGTATTAGTGGCAGTGTTGACTGTGGACCCAAGGAAGCTGAAGTTGTTAACAATCTCAATCTCTTCTCTATCATGATATCCAGTGGTGAGAATCTTTGTTTTCTTCATGAGCTTCAATCCATCTGAAGGCTGCCATCCTTGACCTTCTCCAGCAATTATTTCAGGTTCCTCTCGGTTTCAGCAGTTAAGATTGTCATCTACACAGCACAGGTTGTTGAGTTTTTCTCCAATCTTGATGTCACATTCCACCTCATGAAGTCCTTACAAATGATCTGCTTATAGACTGATCGGTATCAAGATAGAATACATCTTTGACATACACCTTTTGATTTTGAACCATGCAATGTGTCCTTGCTCTGTTCTGACAACTGCTTTCTGATCCAAGTACAGGTTTCACATTAAGTATAATAATGTGTTCTGGGATTCCCATTCTCCTTTAGACTATTTGTTGTGATCCACAGTCAAATGCCTTTGCATAGTCAATGAAACACAGACATCCTGTATACTCTGCTTTCAGCTACAATCCATCTGACACCGGCTAAGCTCCTAGGGCCACAGCCCCTTCTAAACCCTGCTTACACATCTAGCAGTTCTTTGTCGAGGTCTTGTTCCAGTTTTGGATAATCTTCAGTAGGATCTTGCTTGTATGTGGTATTAGTGATATCAACACTCTTGGTACTAGAAACCAAGACAAACAGCTGTCAAAGACCTATCCAGAGTACGGAAGGGCAACGTCAGTCCAGAGACTACTGTGCCTAATCCAATGCATGGTCTTCACAATTACTTGCTATGCATCAGAGAGCTAGACAATGACTAAGGAAGACAGAAGAATGCCTTTGAGTTGTGGTGCTGGAGAAGAATATTGAACATACTATGGACTGCCAAGAGAACAAATGGATCTGTCCTGGAGAGAGTGAAACCAGGCTGCTCCTCGGAGGCAAGAATTTCAAAGCTTCATCTCACATATGTTGGGCATGTGGCCAAGAGGAGCTAGTCCTTGGAGGACATCAACCTTGGAAGGGTGGAGGGACAGTGCTGGAGAGGAAGATCCCAGATGAGATGGATTACCACCACCACTGGAGTAATGGAGGTAGGTATCAGAAACAGAGAGACTATCTCAGGATAGAGAATGGTTCCGAGTTATACTGTACACAGGGTCACTACAAGTTGCAAGTGACTTTAGGGCACATTTCAACAATATGGCAAGAGGTACGACTGTAGAGCTATGGGACTAGTAGACAGATGCAGAGCCAGTGGATCGACTCTCTTCCCAGGGACGGCTGTGTAGCTCGTCTCTCCTAAACTGTTAGGTTGGTATCCCATAAGCACAACAGCAAAAAGTCAAGAAAAGCCATCTGGCATACTGAGTAAAAAGAAAAAAATTGGAAGAAAACAGTAATTGTGGGATCGGCAAACAGTGCTGTTCCTCTAGATACTAAAATGGTTTAATTTTTTCTAGTATTTATAAGGTCAGATGTGGGTTAAGGTCTCCTCTTCCATCACGCTAGAAGAGGCTGCTTACATACATTGCTTACAGGTTTCTTTGAAGAAACTTTTAGACACTTCCCTATTAAAATCTCCTGTAGCCATAATAGCAATCAAATGCTCTTCCAGTTTTGTACTTTTACAACTTAGCACCTCCATTTTATAAAGTCATGTCCCAGTAAGACAAATGCCTTAATCTTAGAGATAACTACTTCATTCTTCCCTCAGCACTCCAGCCCTCATCATTCCATCATGCAGTCTGTTTAGCTTTTATTTCGCAACTAACTATAAGCACCTTTGGGGCAAACTTCTGAGTGGTTTCTCAAAGCACTGGTCCCTGGTGCCCATTCACTACCTTACTGGCAGTTATTGTGGGAAGCAAGGTTGGGGGAAGAAGGGATAGCTAAAGGCAACAAACCCACAGCCTCCTGCAATTTTTATCTGCTTGATCTTGCAAATTCTACGAGTCCCTGAGCAATCTGGAGGATATATTCCAAGACTAACTTCAATCACAAGGGAAAGAACTGATTTTCAAAGAACTGAAAAAGCGACACTTTGGGGCCTGAAAATGCTATAGTGAAAATGTATGCAATTGTCAGCCTCCATGGGAAACAGAAAGATCAGCAGCTGCTAGTATTTCACAGTAGAATCCAGGTTAAACAATCATGAGGCGTGTGAACACAGGCAAACCACTTGACATCACTTGAGCCAGCAGAAAAACTGGATAAAAAGCAATCTTTGGCAAGGAAACAAAGCCACACAGAAATAGCGTCCTCAAACACCACTTTTCGGCCAAAGCAAGCTTCTATTCACTGGTGGTCAGAGTCCAAAGCTTACCTCCCAGAACTGTTAAGTCCATTGACTCAGAGTTGCCAGTGGCTGCCACCTAGTGGTTTAAATGGCAACCATGTATTAATGTGGCTACCTTTTTAGTTATCAGTCCCAAGTATTTTAATGTCTTAATGACAGGGATCACTAACTATATAAGATCCTGCCCACTGGTACAATCACTGTGAAAGGCAGTATGGTGCTTTCTCAAAAAGTTGCAAACAGAGATACCATCTGACCCAGTAATTCCACTACTAGGAATATACCCCAAAGGGACCATAACTGACATCCAAGCAGATTTATGCACACACATTTATTGCAGCTTTGTTCACAATAGCAAGGAGTTGGAAACAACCCAAGTGCCCATCAATAAACAAATGGATAGAGAAACTGGAATAGAATACTATGCTGCATTGAAAAACAAGGAACTCATGCAGTATTATTCAAAATGGGTGACTGGAGGACATTATGCTGAGTGAGGAATCTCAGTCACAAAAGGACAAATACCGCATTGTGCCACTATTGTAAAACAGGACTGACCTTGGGGTTGGGGAGAGACTTAGAAAGATGGGTTCAATAATGTATACTGCATTGAAACGGATAAGGGAGAAAACTGTTTAAAAGGGATGTGATTAGGTATTTTTGTCACAACAGGAGTCTAGAGCGAAGGCTACATGGTGGAGCAGACCTGGGGGAGGGTTTGTAAAACAATGAAAGAATTTGTCTTTTACTTTTCCAAGAGGGTAGTGTACTAGCAGGGAGGGTTGGGAGGGGATAAAAGTGCAACAAAGAATGAATGGAAATCCAAAGTCTCTAATTTTTTATTGAAATTAGCAGTAAGTTAAAAAAAAAAAAAAAAAGACCTGGCCCACATTATCTCATAAATTCCCAAGTCCCACACCACATTAAAACTACGTTTTCCAGGCCAAAAAGCTTACCTCAGTAGGTCTGTCCTGAGGTGGTACCACGGCTCAAGTGGTCACAATGGATTAGTTCAAGTGTTTTTGATCTTCACTGGTGCATATTACCAGTTATGACTGACCACCAAGTGAAGCCAGTGGTAACCCCACCCAAGGACTGTTTCCTAGAACATTCATTGGCTCCTCCTTCAAGATCATCCTCATGTCCCTCTTCTAGGAACTTAAATGCTTGTGGTTTGCTGTCAAGGACTGCACTCCAATTTTTCTAGTGTACATGGCAGAACATACTTCCTCTCTAAAACATTGAAGCCTGCAGAAATACCCACAACTCCTGATTCAGGAGTTCACTGTTGTCCACTTAATTCATGTTGATGCAAAGCTACTAATTAGAAAGGTCTCCAGGAAACAAAATATTTTCCCTTTATAAGGAGTCTTGGAATAACAACCAATTGACCTAAAACCCACTTCTACCCTTTCCACTAGCCTGAGCATAGATGAGAAATTATCTTTGCCTTTCCATATCCTATTTTCCTAGAATATCTTCTCAAAACATTCAAATACTTAGCATAGTCTTAAATCCAAGGTCAAAACAGCTCCTTTCCCATCAAGCAAAATGGACCAGTAAGGTTGGTGGGACAAAACTGACAAACTTCCCAACTGCCTCCCTAGGGCATGGAGGCATGGACACTGGACCCGCCTCTGCAGGGAGGAGCCTGCTGGAACCAAAACAAGCCTGTGTCCAAGCCAAGTGCAGCAGCTCTAACAGCAACAAATGACATCACTCTGGACAAAAGACAACTCCCCAAACCAAGCAAGTCTGGCCATTTTAGCATTCTGACCCCTAGACCATTTTTATTCAGGATTTATGACGAAAATAAACAGGGAGACTCGATTAAGTTTTTCTGACTACATGTTTATTCAACACAAAACAATTCCCTCCAACTTTACTGAGGTGGCTGACCACGTCCACGACCAAATCCGCCTCTCTGTAAGAAAGCAAACGATGACATCAGTGTTACGAACACACCCAGCTGTCTATCTTCTTGGGCTTTTCTAACTTTCAGGCCGTAGGTCTATAAAACCCCCCGTCTTATCCCTCACTGGCTATGGGACCATCTTCTTAGTGTGTATCCATATATTCACATGTGAAAACAGGACAGCTCTTGTTTCTACTGTACATACCTTTTCTCAAACGAGACCTCAGGAGATGTGCTACTTTTAAGGATGTGCCATATGCCAGGAGATGACACCAATCCTCACAATAAATACTTTACTCAGATTGATAAATCTCAAAATTACCTTGGTGAAGTTACAGTATGCCACATGATAATGCTTAGTGAGATCCCTTTAAGTAATAGATGTATGAAAGCTAGCATTATTTTTCACAAGGTAAAATTTATTTGGAATCTGTGGTGGAAAGGTACATAGTGCACTACACCGTACCTCTAAAACTTAAGGGATCTACAGGGCAATTGGGGATACTCACAAACTGGAATTCAGTTGCTGACCCAGCCCCAGCCTCGGCTTTCTTGTCGGCACCAGCTGAAATTAGAAACACCAGTTTAGAGTGATCATCTGATCTGATATACAGCAGAACAAGGGAAGATGAGTCACCTGACTATAAGCCACAGGAAAGGCTGCATCAACAGTGACACCTATCCAAGTACAAATAATTGACCACATTTTTTATTTGTGTTAAATAGTATTTGTCAGTTTTGCAAACAATGTAACTCCTGCTTCCGATGTATGTTTGTGTGAGCACATTATATGTATTAAATACAGTACACAGACAAGTAGGGAGCTCTGATGGCTTAGTGGTAAGGACAACCCAGAAGCACTTAGGTCTAATCCACCAAATGCTCTTTGGAAAAAGCAAGCAGTTGCTTCCCTCATGATTGATTAGTTAAAACCTGCTGGATTCTTCCAAGAGTCTGTTCCAACTGTACACTATAAACACATAGGATCATCTGAGCCCCTTTGCTTCCTGACTCCCTTTCTCCTGGGGTAGACCTCTCTCTCACGATTCCTTAAACCATTTTTCAAAATTCAGACAGCAAACTACTGCCTTCTTCAGGGCTACCCTACTTGCTTACAAAACTCAGTAAATAAAATAATACTCTTCATTGAGCTTGTTTCCATTTGCTTTCTTAACTGCTGCTAGGTGACTGTGTGTCAAGTGTGACTTATAGCAACTCTATGAACAACAGATCTAAAGCCTGTCCTAATCCTGTGCCACTCTCATCAGACAAACTTGAGCCCACTATTGCCGGTACTTTGACAATTCAGCTCCTCGAGGGTTTTCCTCTTTCACTGACACCCCCATCTTTCCAAGTTTGATGTCCCTTTCTAGCAACATGCTCAGAATAAGTGAGTTGAATCTCCACCATCTTTGCCTCTAATGAGCACCTGCCTGTAGATTCTCCAAGACATATTTGTTCTTCTGGCAACCCATGGGATAGTCAGTAGTCTTTTCCAACATCAAAACGGAAAGAAACAGATTCTTTCACTGTCTGGTCCTCTGGTGCTTATTAAGTGAATGAAAAGGACATTGCTTGAATCAGAACACCTTAGCCTTCAAAGTGACACCATTGCTTTCCAAGACTTTGGAGTGTTCTTTTACAGCAGACTTTCCCAATGTAAGCCCTTTAAAAAAATTTTTTTAAAGTCTTTCAATCTGTTGTAATGTGCCGTCGAGTCGCTTTCGACTCATAGCGACCCTACGTACAACTGCCCTAAACCCTGCCCTATCCTGTGCCAATCTCACTGCCTCTGACACACCCATCCCGATTACCCCAGTCACTGAATCAATCCACTTCATAAAGAGTCTTGCCCTCTTGTGCCGTCCCTCCACCCTCCCAAGCATGCTATCCCTCTCCAAGGACCGGTCCCTCCTTACAACACCTCCGAAGTATGTCAGACGAAGTTTCAGAATCCTTGCCTCTAAGGAGCAGCCTGGTTTAACCCTTTCCAGGATGAATCTGTTTTCCTAGCAGTCCATGGTACCCTCAATACTCTTCTTCAGCACGACAGCTCAAAGGCATCCATTCTCTTTCTATCCTCCTTAGTCACTGTCCAACTCTGATGCATAAAAGTGATTGCAAAGACCATAGCCTGTATCAGATGCACCTTAGTCACCAAAGTGACAATATTGCTCTTCAGTACGCGGGAGAGGTCCCTAAAAGCAGACTTTTCCATCGCAATACGTTTTTTTTATTTCCTGGCTGCTGGTGCCAAGAGTGTTGACTGTGGAGCCAAGCAAATTAAAGCTGTGAACAATCTGAGAATCTTTGTCTTCTTGACACTGAGCTTCAATCCATACTGAAGGCTGCAGTCCTTGACCCTCTGCAGCAAGTGCACCAGGTCCTCCTCAGTTTCAGCAAGCAGGGTTGTCATCTGCATAATGCAGATTGTTAATAGATCTTCCACCAATCCTGACACCACAATTCGCCTCATAGAGCCCAGTCTCCCGGATAATCTGTTCTGCATACAGGTTGAAAAGGTTATGGAGATAGGACACATCCCTGGAGTACACCTTTCCCAGTTTTGAACCATGCAGTGTTTTCCTGCTCTGTTCTGATGACTACTACTTCTTGGGCCAAGTATAGGTTTCACAAGTCAGCCAGTTTGTTATGATCCACAGTCAAATGCCTTTGCATAATCAATGAAACACAGATAGACATTCCTCTGGTATTTCCTGCTTTCAGCTAAGATCCATCTAACATCAGCTACAATATCCCTTACAATGAAAATTCAACCTTTCTGCAAAATTTTGTTAAAAATCAATTTAAAATATTTTTTAAAACCAGCATAAAAAAAAAAGACCATACAGGAAAGTGAAGAATTGCTGCAGAACATTTCTATGGCTGTAAATCATTATCAAAGCAAACCGCCAACATCTTTCTCTCAGAGGCTGTTGGTTCTGCACACCTTAGGGTTACCAGCCAAGCATTTAATCACTGTACCACCAGGCCTCTACCATTAACTACTGGGGGGGGGGGAGAGAAAGTAAAAAGGCAGAATGATCCCTTAATTAAATAAAAGCAAGTAAAATGCAATCACCCTGAAAACACACTACCAATGTCACTTCACCTTAAGAGTAGAATTCCAACTCCTTTCATGCTCCACAACAGCACTGTCTTCTCATCTGCTTATTTAGTTCTGATCAAGGAATTAAGGGAGTTGCACCCAAAAAAAAGGTTCAAATCTACTACTAGCTACGCTATATTCTATGGGAGAACTTCCTAGGCTTTAGTTAGGCAACTTCCTACCCCTGGAGGGTCTGCTTTAATCTGGTTCCTTTTTCTATCTGGGATCCTTTTTCATCTGCCTGACTGCTCCTCCCTCCATCTCAGTCACTGGCTGGCTCTCTTCACCTTCAAGGTGTCTGTGCAAATCTCACTTATGCAATCTACCCTGAAAATTCCATTTTACAATTGTGGCACTTTTTCTCCAGTTTCCACTTACAAGAACATTTCATCTATGTTCAGTACCTGGCATACCACAGCTGCTCAATGAATACTTGAATAAACTGCTATTCCAAGTCAATACAAATAGTGGTCACACAGTAAGATATTGAATTCTTTTGTTAGCAAGGAAACAATGAAGACAGTTTGGGTGAACACTGCCTTCAAGGGACTTTATTTATGGAGAGAATACTTATGGAAGATAGAAACGCACTTCTGTTATCAATCCTGGCTGCTATGAAGATGTTTTTTTTTTTATGGCGGGCTTGGTGATGCCCTGGATGTTATGAAGATGTAAGTATTTTAACTTACAGGTGATTTCTAGAAAGCTGTTAGTTCTGCTGTAGTTTATGATCTTCAACTAAACTTTTCTCTGTTCGAGAGTTTTCCTCCTACTTCTCACCTATCAAATCTCTGAAAAAGGAAGCAGCACAAAGGACTCCAGTAGCTCTAGAGTTTGAACCCATTCCTGGTCAGCAGGAATAGTGAAGATTTAGTGGCCCCCGAAGAATTCTGATAGGGGGCACATTACTTACGAGGCACTGCACTCCGTCTGTATGTGTCTCTGTCAGCCTCCCCTCGAGTCAATCTTGCAGGTCGTTCACCTTCCAGACCTACAGAATTTAAACCACACTGTGAATACAGGGTAATGTAGAAATTGTCACTTTAAAGTCAAGAACATGGAAATCACTCTACTGGTCTCACTGGGCAATCATTAGTTATGAAGGATTAACGGTAATAGTAACTTTAAAAGGCAAAAATGTAAAGGTATCTTAAAACCATTCTTATAAATCCTTAGAGAATTAACCTAGTATTCCTTCTAAATCCTTGCCTCCTAATTACCTAGGATTAAATTATAGACCACACCTAAGTTAAAAAAAAACCAAAAATACAAACACAAACACACAAAAACAAATCTGATCCAGCAGTGATCCAGGTTTACGATTACACCAACTCTTCAGATTCCCAAGAGTCACTAAGTCAGCCTCTTTGGGGAAAATCCATACATTTTAATGGGCATCTCATTACTGAGTCCACAAATTCCCCTAAAAAGTTCCAAGGACAAGATCTCCCCAACTTTGAATCTTATGAATAAAAAGGAAACCACAACCATCACAGAATCCAACTCTGAATATCTATCAATTAAATATGTAACACATGAAAGCATTTCACCTCATGATTATCTCTTCTTTTCTCTATGATATGCTGTGAAAATGTCCTCTCATGATGGCCTGAAAATGTGCAACCACTTCCCTTACAAACTGCTCTAGAATCAGGGACAGGGATCTAGGACCTCACTAGGATCAATGTGTCACACCCAAGTCCTAATGTTGACACACTAAAAAAACATTGCATAGCAGAAAACAGCTTCAGAATTGGTCCTGTACATACCTTTCGGTCGTGGCCTGCCAGTCTCAGGTCGGCTGCGGCGCAAGGTGGCAGGAACAATTTCAGGAGGCAGATGAAGGTAATCACGTAGATACTGGATACCCTCGTTGGTAAGGTACCAGTAGAAATGTCTCCAGGCGAACTGTTCCTTCACATAACCTCGTGACTTGAGACTCTGTAAGAAAACTACTGTTAAGGCCCAGAGAGAAAAAGGCATTCAAAAAACCTAGATGTTTTGATCTAGAAAATGTCAGTGACATGGAATGTCTCACAAATTTTCACAGCACATCTCCAAGTGCTTGTTAAGGTGGTAATCAGCTCTTGAGCTCCCTTTGGAATGTGCCTTGAACCATCTGTGACAAAATGTCCCCAGTCACCTCTTGAATACCTGCATGGCCTTCATGACATGAAGGTTGGGCACGTTTTTATCTGCCAGTTCGGGGTGCTTTGGCATGTGGACATCCTTCTTGGCCACCATCACCCCCTCCTTAAAAAGGAGTTCATATATAGCAATCCGGTTCTTCTTGGGCATCAACATCTGTGTGAAGGAAGCAATCATCAAAAGCACTTTAGAGCACTGTGGTTAAAACTGTGTTTTTTAAATCCCAAAATGACAGCAGAAAACCACCAAGCATTGGGTTAAAATCTCAAACACACCATATAAAACGTGCAAAGAGGAATATAAGTCAGAAAAACGGACAAATCATTCACCAGCATTTCAAGTTCGAGAGAAGCCTGGGAAAGCATTAACAAAACACAACCCGGGACTGAGGGTGCACATTTGTTTCAAAGTTATGGTCACAAAATACGATTGGGGCAGGAAGTGTGGAGACCCTATGTATCTGAATACCAGAAGACCGTAAGGGATAGTGCCTGGTTAGGAACGACGAGACTGTAACTTCTATAATGTGTGGAATCGGCCCTGAGAAAGTCCCTCCTGTTTTGACACGGAAACAGACCCCTGACACTAGAGTTGATTTCCACACCTTCACACTCTACCACTATTCTTCCGACTTACAGCTCGAGTTAGGAAAAGCCGCCTTGGGTGAGACGTCCTGACCCAAAGAAAAAGTATGCAGGCAAGTCTTTATCGTTGCCAGGTTGATTCACGTCCTACATCTTCTGATCCTACGCTTTTCGCCGACAGCACCCGCCACTCCCCGCCAGTGGAGCGCCAAATCCTCGTCAGCCGCCATCCCAACCCCCTCCTAGAGCTAAGCGTCCCAATTCCTCTTGCTATTCAGAAATGGACTTAGAAAAAGGAAAAGAAGGGCCTCTTGGCCCAAATGTGGGAAGGCGCAGAGACCACGATTGCGAGATGGCGCAGATGGGGGACAGATGGAACAAGGAAACTACGAGAGGAACTCACCTCGACGTTGGATGGGTCCGGAGCCTAGACTGGAAAAGAGAGAGCATGCGCCGCGCTGTGACTCTTCCGGGCTGAGGCGGCCCCGCCCCCTTGCGAGGACCCACGCACGGCCGGGGTGGCCTCGGCGGTGCCTGAAGGATGGAGTCTTTGCAGGTGATGGTAAATCCCTTACAATTCAAGGACACAGAGGTCTTACAGACCACATTATGTTTGTACCTCATAGATTGTAACCCCGCCGCGAGCTTCTGAGCCTATGCGCTTCATCAGTAAATCTCCGTAGAAATACGCTACTCGTTTTCCAACTGGAAATGTGTAAATAAAGTACTCTATGGAAGCAGGAGTGGCATCCACTTCCTAAACAACATGCCTCCGGAAACTATGAACTTTGATAAATGTCGATAGTTACAGAAAGGCTTCAGGCCTTTTGTTCATAGGGTAGCTATGAGTCGTGCTTGACTCGAAGGCAATCAACAACAATAACATACTTCTAGGGGGGAAAGTGATTATTAAGGAAACTACAACAATAGTAATTTTAATCGAGTGATAATGAATATTTTAGCATATAGTCTTTCAACTTAGAAATATGTCTATTTGAAAACCTAAAAAATCCTTCCCATACACACAAACAAAAAATTGGGAAGGAGCTCTTGTAGCTTAGTGGGTAAAGAATTGCGTTGCCAACCCCAAACTGGCTGTTCGAATCCACCAGCCCTCTGCCAGAGAAAAATGAACAACTACCTCCAGTGTATGTTGTTGTTGTTAAGTGCTGTCAAGTCGCCTGCCACTCATAGCGACCCTATGAACAGTAGCTCTAAAGCCTCTTCTATCCTGAGCCAATTTCACTGTCTTCAATGACACACCTATTCCCATTATCCCTCTTTCTGTGTCAATCCCTCTCATTCAGGGTCTTCTTCTGGGGATGACGCTCCACCATTCCAAGCATTATGTCCTTCTTCAAGGACACACTAGAGCCCATTGCTGCAGTCACTGTGTCAACCCATCTGATTGGGGGTCTTCCTCTCTTTCACCAACCCAACACCTTTCCAAGCACGATGTCCCTCTCCAAGGAATAGCCTCTCCCAGCAACATGCGTGAAGGATGTGAGACAAAGCTTTATCATCTTTGCCTCCAAGGAGCACTCTGGCTGCCCTTTCCCAAAGACATTATCTGTTTGTTCTTTTGGCAGTCTATCAGAGATACTCAGTACTCTTCTCCAACACTACAAATAAGCCTCCACACCTCAACAAAAAAAAAAGGTAAACAACCCATTCACAAAATGGACACAAGATATGAATAGACTCTTCACCAAAGAAGACTTTCAACATGCCCAAAATATGAGAGAGTTTCAAAATCCTTGACTCCAAGGAGGAACCTGGCTTCTGTCTCTCCAGGACAGACTTATTTGTTCTTTTGGCAGTCCATGGTATGTTTAATACTCCAACACTACAACTCAAAAGGCATCGATTCTTCTTCTGTCACACTTGGTTATTGTCCAGTTCTCTGATGTATTCCAAGTAATTGAGAAGAATAGGCCTGAATCAGGGGCACCTTAGTCTCCAGACTGACATTGTAACTCTTCAGCACTCTGGAGGGGTCCCTGACTGCAAACTTTCCCAAAGCAACTCGCCTTTTTATTTAGACCCTCTGAAAATCCGGTAGAGGGTCAGATATGAATCTGGGTCAGTTACAACTCAACGGCCCATTTCAACAAGTATCACTGGTCCCAGTCGGAACCAACTCTTTGTTGACTGGCCATTTTCCTCCCATAGAACAGCTGGTGGATTCAAACCTTCAGAGAGGCACTGCAAATTGGGTGAGTCATGCCATATACGTGAATCCAGAAGAAATATTTTTAAAGTATATGAAAAAAGTTAAAAACTAATTCTTAATATTTATTAGGGTTTTTTACATTGTTGAACATCCCCCCTTTCCTCCTCTCCTATCACACCCTGCAATGCACCCCTTGTTCCAGATTGTTGTCATATGTATAATGCCTAATTATTTATTTGGACAGTTATTCCACTAATCTGTTCTACTGCAGTGTTCATTATCTATTCATTCTTTTCCCATTCTCTCTCCAACCCCCATGTCTATCCTATTTTATGACAGCAGTGCTACGCAGTGCTTATCTTTTTGTGAGAGAAATCTTTCTATCAGCATAATGTCTTCTAGGCTTCCCCATGTTGTGTAATGTTTTACGAGTTCTTTCTTTTTTGGTACTGCATAATATTCCATTGTGAGACCATACCACATAGCTTTTCTATACATTTGTCTGTTGATGGGCTTAGGTTGCTTCCATCTCTTTGCTGTTGTGAATAATACAGCAATAAACATAGGTATAAAAAACAGTTAATAGCTTTAATTGTAAATAGTTATTTCAAGTCAATTAAAACAAACCTCAGTAGCAAAACACAGAACAGATATAAACATATAAGGAAAAAACATAAGTCATTTGTGACTCATAGCAATCCTGTGTACAAGAACCCTAAACCCTGCTCTGTTCTGTGCCAACCTCATTGTCTCCAACACACCTACTCCCACTACCCCAATCATTAAATCGATCCATTTCATTAAGGGTCTTCCTCTCCTGCGCTGTTCCTCCACTCTCCCAAACATGATGTCCCTCTCCAAGGATTGGTCCCTCCTTGCAATATGTCCAAAGTATGTCATACGAAACTTCAGAATCCATAACTCCAAGGAGCAGACAGGCTTCACCCTCTCCAGGACAAATTCACCACTCTTCTCCAGCACCACAGCTCAAAGGCATCAATTCTCTTTCTGTCATCCCTACTCACTGTCCAGCTCTTCAATGCATAGCATGAAATTGTGAAGACTATAGCACAGATCAGGTGCACCTTAGTCTCCAGCCTGATGTCATTGCTCTTCAGTACTCTGGAGAGGTCCCTGACAGCTGACTTTCCCAGTGCAATTAATCTCTTGATTTCCTGGCTGCTGATACCAAGAGTATTGACTGGGGAGCTGAACAAACTAAAACTGTTATCTCAATCTCTTCACCATCCATACTGATACTGCCAATTGGCCCAGTGGTCTTGACTGTATTCTGTTATTAATCTGCATTATATAATCTTTTGACTTCCCTTATGAAAAAAAAAAGAGAGAAACCAATCAATGTAGGAAGAAGTACAGCCAGAGTACTTCTTAGAAGCAAGGATGATGAGACTTTGTTTCATATATTTTGGTCATGTTATTGAGGGGCCAGTCCCTGGAAAAAGATACCATACAGGGAAAAGTAGAGGATCAGCAAAGGAGAGAAGACACTCAAGAAGATGGGTTCACACAGTGAGTGCAGCCAAGATTATGAGGATGGTACAAGATTAGACTGGATTGCATTCTGTTGTACATAGGACCATTATGAAACATAGTCAACTCAATGACACCTAACAACAACAAGGGATCATAGCTGAGAATAGTGACTTCTGTTCTCATGTGGATACTTTTTACTTATTTTTCTTATATTATTTTGCTAGCTATAATGGGAGGTCAGGCATCCTTGTCTTGTTCCCAGTTTTAAGAGTTAAACTCTCAATCTTTCCCCCTTTAGTATAATTTTGGGTGTCGATATTTCATAAATGAATCATATTGAGGAATTTATCTTCTAGTCCACTTTCCTTTAGAGTTTTCAACCATAGAGGGTGTTGGATTTTATAAAATACTTTTTCTTTGTCAATTGAAGGAATCAGATGGTTTTTTTCCTTTGTTTTTCCCATCTTACCTTTAAGAAGTATTCTGGCTGTTTCTTCCGAGATACTGTGTTTGTTTTTTTGGCATTCAATGGTATCTTCAATATTCTTTGCCAATAACAAAATTTTTTTCTTTTTTATTAAATTTTATTAGTTTTAATGAACATTTACA